CATTTTTCTCTACTCTCGAATCTTGCTCCTTTTGTTGCCTGCCCTGTCGCCGCCTGGAGCCACCACCACCTCGTCGTATGCGATGGCTGCGAGCGCGACTTCCACCTCGTCTGCTAGTGCATCGCCTCTGGAGTGAAGAGCGAGCGGTGGCCGTTGGCGGTGAAAAATCTCAGATTTACAGATCTGAAGGCCCAACTTCCGCCCCTAAAGACCCCTCCTTAGTCGCCAAAGTCTCCGAAGCCATAGCCTCACTCAACTCTACCCCAGAAGCCAACTCCTCGACAGAGAAACACCGTTGCTCCTTCGCGCCACGTCTTCACTGTGGCCAGTCATTGGAGTCGTCGTTGCTCACGTTGGAGGAAGTCACGCCGTGTAGGTAATCTCCCGTGTTTGTTGCTTAAGGATTCAACTCCTTTGTTGGTGATTGGAGATGAACAGAGAGGGGTGGAAGCTTAATTTCATTATCTGTTTTGGTTTGTGGTCGCCATAACCAATTTGGGGTGGTTGGGTTTTTCCTTGTAGAGAAAAATGGCTATTGGTTGTTGGCTTAACAAAAATTGATGTGTATTGAGTCACATTTGGTTGTTGGCTCCATTTGACGCAGGTGAAGAAGGAGCAGAGCACATTTCTTGATATGGCTTTTTTTATTTCTAGCGTTCTGGCATGATTTGTTAAGAGGAATTGAAGGAGAAAGTTTTCCTCTCTGGATATGGCTTTTGTGGTGGGTTTCGTAGGTTGAAGGGATGAACTTGCTTGGAGGAAAAACTGTTTCTTTTTCTTTTTGTGTTATATGATTATGTTATGTTATGAAAGGAACTGAATTTGATTCTAGCCTAGTGTGAGCTTTAAAGTTTATTATTTCTATGATATTTTCCTCTCTTTTTCTGATTGTGGGATAGAAGATTGAGTTCAGATTTCTATAGAATCGCGATTAAAAGATGATGCAATAGAGAAAATCACAATAAGCACTTCTTGCATAAAGACTGAGAAAAAAAAGAACATTTCTACTGCCTCGGTTCACCAGAACCTGAGACCAAAAGTCTGGCGAAAAAAAAGGAATACCTTTTACTACCTCGGTTTCATTTTAACCGAGGCAAAAACATACATCTTTATACCTCTGTTCAGAACCGAGACCAAAAGTGGTACGCTTTTTACCTCACATTTATATACCTCGGTTGTAGAACTGATGCGAATAAGTCAAAACACCGTTATCGTTTTTCTTTACTGCACTAGTGTGGTAACTAAATTCTCATACATCGGTTAAGAAGATGTATAATAAAACCCGAGGCAAAAGATCCCAGGTACGGACAAACAAATTTGTCNGCTTTAAAGTTTATTATTTCTACGATATTTTCCTCTCTTTTTCTGATTGTGGGATAGAAGATTGAGTTCAGATTTCTATAGAATCGCGATTAAAAGATGATGCAATAGAGAAAATCACAATAAGCACTTCTTGCATAAAGACTGAGAAAAAAAAGAACATTTCTACTGCCTCGGTTCACCAGAACCTGAGACCAAAAGTCTGGCGAAAAAAAAGGAATACCTTTTACTACCTCGGTTTCATTTTAACCGAGGCAAAAACATACATCTTTATACCTCTGTTCAGAACCGAGACCAAAAGTGGTACGCTTTTTACCTCACATTTATATACCTCGGTTGTAGAACTGATGCGAATAAGTCAAAACACCGTTATCGTTTTTCTTTACTGCACTAGTGTGGTAACTAAATTCTCATACATCGGTTAAGAAGATGTATAATAAAACCCGAGGCAAAAGATCCCAGGTACGGACAAACAGAAATTTGTCAATTAAGACAATATATGCAGAAGTTGTCTTGATCTACAAACTCAAGCACAAGCAGGCTAACATGCAAATAACATTTGCTTATACCTGGTTTAAAGCCATACAGTTGGAGAAAATGATATCAATTTATGCGTTAAATAGTATTTGTTAAACTGATGGCTAAGGCCCCTGATGGATAAGGCCCTGATATTCTGCAATAACTTATTAACAAACACCTTAAGTTAAACACATTAATATTCACTTTAACTGTTTATCTTTTTTTTTCAGGAGAGAGGTTTGCACAGTTGATTGAACCAAAGTTTACTGAAGTGCTAATATATAAAAAAAGGGCACCCCCACAAATTGAAATTCACTATTTCAAACCAATAAATAATAATCGATCAAAACACAATCCCTTCAAGTCTCATTCTATACCCTTTCTCTTTTTGAACCATGCTTGTTGTCACAAACAAAAGAATCCTAAAGTGGCAAAACACATCAAATGGAGAAGACCCAAAAACCTTGAGTAGTAAAAAATTCATTACATATAATGATTGAATCCATTACTTTCCCTCAAAAGAGGCATGAGAAATAAAAAAACCCACTTTAAATCTAATTCAATTCAACAAAATTAACTTATAAAGAAATTATATTTATTTATATATTATAAATCTGTTTTATTTATAATTTAACTAATAATAAATTTTATTAAAATTAAATAAATTTTGAATAACTTTAGTATCATTTAAGAAAAAAACTTTAAATCTAATTAATATTATAAAATCAATTTATAATATAAGATTTGATTTATTTATATATTATAAATTTATCGTATTAAACATATGTAAGATTTTCAATTAAGTTTAGAAAACTTTAATTACACATAATTATCAAAATATGAATTTTTAAAAATCATAAAATTAGAAACCTATTTTAATGTAAGAAAGTAAGAACCGCGGAATCAAAATTTTATGACTAATGAAAATTTATAAATCTAAAAAATCTATACTTTCACAAAAAGAACGGTAGGTATAGCTGCAAAATCTCTCTCACTGACTTTCGGTTGAACATGGACGGTTTGGTTGCACACATGTGAGTTCATAACCTACTCTCTTAGATTGAGTTACGTACTCACCACTTTCCATATTCCCAAAGATTCACTTATTGCCAATCTTCTAATCACTACACACCAAATTATTGAGGATTATTTCATTTTAATCGTATTAAATTCTGAACGTCTTATGAGAAACTGTATTCTCAGAAGATCCAAAACTATATTCTAATCTTTTGTATAACTTACCATGATTTTATTGATGGACCCTCAAGGAGAGAAATTGTTCTTACTTATATGATAACTTCTTAGAATCTTTTTAATAATTAATAAAGGAATAAAAAAGGAAGACAAAAGAGAGAGTATAAAACAGAAAACAAACAATTTACGTCTATCTCTCTTTTCTCATGTACTTCCCAACAGAATCACTTTTATTAACTAATTGTTATATCACTGAAAATTATGTTATTGGTATTCTTAAAGTCACCTTTAAGGTATATAATAACTTTCATATATCAATATTAATATTTATACCTATATATATAAAGGGAATTTTTCTTTTTCATATTTATTTTCCAATTTTAACTTTTGAACAAATAGTTTCTTTAAAATTAAAATAATTATTATATTAATTTCACTTTTTAAGTGGTTTTTTTTAATTTAATGGTTTTTTTTATTTCCTTGTTTCTTTTAAAGTTAACTATTTTCTTAATTATAAAACTACCTACAAAATAAATAAAAATTATTTATGATAAATTTTATAAAAAATATTTTAATTGTATAATTATAATAGTAATAATAATTATTATAATAATAATAATTTTATTATTTTTATTAACATATAAAATGTAAATATTTGTTTTTATTTGTGAAACACTAATATTTTAATTTAAGTCAAATAGTCATGTTTGATACTTTAGAATATTTTACTGATATTTATTAAGTATCTAATCTATAAAATAGTATTTTTATGATGATAATAATTTATAACTATGTTGACAATTTTAATATATATTATTTTAATTTAAATACACAACATAACAATTATATATTTATCATGTTTTTAAGAATTATTATACATTTTTAAATATACATATTATTTTAATTTGAATACACAAGATAACAATTATATATTTATTATGTTTTTAAGAACTATTACACATTTTTTAATATATATATATATATATATATATATATATATAAATGAAAAAGGTCAAGTAACTTATAGAAATTAAAACCGATAAACATATTATCTTAATTTGATTTAAAATAATGTTGAACTTTTTTATTGAGTTAACTTAAATTTTGTTGAATTTTCTTAATGAATTTTTTTTTCTTGATAAACCTATCACACATATTTCAAACAAGTTTATTGTGAACAAGATTTTTTAGATTAGGAAACTAGTTTCTCTTTAACTGAGAAATTAATTACAGTAAATTTGACCCATATCAATGATACAAGTCTATATAAGACAATTATTTAAAGCTTAATTATGTATTTAGAGGTAGGTTCTACTTTGTTTGTATAAAAAGAATATTTTTGTGGATTCTTCAAAACGTGGGCTTAAGTGGATATTATATATAATTAATTCCTCTATCCTCCATTTTCTTTTTAATAATGTACACACACTTGGAGTAAGTTTGTTAGTTAGTACACATAATAATGTTTTATGAATAAGAGCCTTTAATCACATGTACGATATATATTATGAAAGATTATTTAAGAGTAAATTATAAATATAATTTATGTGATTTCTTGTTCAGAATATATTTATATCTCTTGGTTTTTTTTAGTATAGTAGCAATCTCTCATATTATTACCAACGTGTGGAAGTATAATATTTTTAAAACTTAAAAAAAAAAAAAAGGTGCCGTGGTGACGATGTAATATTTTAAAAAATGAATGCTTCTTTGAAATGTTAAAAAAGTTGGGATTTGGACGTAATTTGAGAAAAGGTGAGGAGACGTTAATGGAAGGTACTCTAGTATTATATGTCAGATAAATGAAATTGTTTTAAATACAGGGTTATGAGTTCTGCTATTTGTATTTATGAAAGTACATTACATATGTCTTTTTCTTAAAAGAATCACTTTCAAATTAAAAAAAAAAAAAGGAGCTGATTGATAAGTTTGATCTAAATAAATATGCATGAACAAAACACTGTGTGAAACAGGACATGGTGTTTGCTGAATATGGATCAAGGTGGAAATTGCTGAGGAAACTAAGCAACCTGCACATGCTTGGAGGAAGGGCTCTTGATGAGTGGGGAAAGGTTCGAGAAGAAGAGATGGGGCAGATGCTGGGTAGCATGTACGAGTGTAGCAAGAGGGGTGAAGCTGTGGTGGTGCCTGAGATGCTCACTTACTCTATGGCCAACATGATAGGCCAAGTCATACTCAGTCGTCGAGTGTTCGAGACCAAGGGTTCTGACTCAAACCAGTTCAAGGACATGGTGGTCGAGCTCATGACTGTTGCAGGCTACTTCAACATTGGCGATTTTATACCCTTCTTGGCCAAATTGGACCTTCAAGGTATAGAGCGTGGGATGAAGCACTTGCACAACAAGTTTGATGTGTTGCTCACAAACATGATTCAGAACCATGTGGCTTCTAAGCATAAGAGAAAGAATAAACCCGATTTCTTGGACATGGTCATGGCTCATTATGGTGAAGACGACGCTCATGGGGACAAACTCTCATTCATCAACGTCAAAGCACTGCTACTCGTACGTATCACTCTTTATCTTAACTTTGACCATTTCTTCCCCACCCTTCAATCAAAATAATTATAAAATCTTATATTAATTCTAACTCATCTTATATGCCTTAAGTTATTCTTTTATTTAGTCCACGTCCATTTCTCAAACACATCTTTCCATGATCAAACATCAATATTCTGTTCATTGATACCTAATAATAGTATAACTCATTTTAACTTATTTTAAAAAAAAAATAACTGTCTCTGTTTATATATTATAAATTAATTTTATTTTTAATTTTTGTATAATCTTTAACATATCTCTTTTATATAGAAACACGAACATCTCACATGTGAGTATTGGGTAACAACAACTCTTACACAAGTCAATCAAGAGTAATCCAATAATAAAAATAAATTTAATAAACCTCTTTAAGATAAACTTTATTTATATATTAAAAAATACATTTAAATATAATATTATCATAAAATTAATTTGTAAAATGAGATGACTTCATTTACATAATATAAATAAAAATTAGTTATATCCTAATTCATATAAAATTTTGACACATCATTCAACTGTGTTTATAAATTAAATATTGATATAATTAAAACATAAAAATATAATCACGTGATTGAAGTACCAAAAGTAGTTTCTTTCGTCATTACCACCATGGATATGAGTTGTATATATCCACGATGTAATGTGTAATGTGTCAAGTTGAAGACCACACCTTAAGCCACTAACCATACTAAAACATGTGTTTGGGACATTCTTAGTTGTGTCTTATTCACATTTTCAATACTTAGACAAAACTTTAACAGGCGTAGCGCCTTTTGAAATATCACGTTAGTAAATGAAATTTACTTAAAGTCAGAGAAAACTTTAAGTTATATTTTTTAGTTAATAAATCATTCTAACAAAGTTCGAACAATAATAGTGAAGAGTGGATTAGGAAGAATATCTTGTAACTTAAGTTTTTAATTATTAATTTTATTCTTATTAGTTATAAGTTTCTATTAAGTTGAGGGAAATAAAGAAAAATAAATATAATATTTGGAGGTTTTTTAAAACACATCCCCCTCTATTCTGTATACATATAGTGAATTAGCCCTACCCATAATAATTAATGAGTAATTACCAAAATTTTGTCTCACTGACAGGTATAATTTGTCGGTGTGATGAATTGATGCCAAAGCTCACTTTTTTAAAGAGAGCTACAAGTACACTTTGAATTTTTTTAATAAAGAAAGTGGTTTTCCTGTTAGAATACATAAAGTACATTATTATTATTATTTCTTTTGTTTAATTAGTAATTTAATTGAGTCTTTATTTTCTTTTTAAAAAATCAATATTCCGTTTAATTCACGTTTATACTACGGAAAGATTATGTCTCAAAATTTAGGTTATTTTTTATTTTGAAATTTTTCTGATATTTTTCTTTTTTCATCTCTTACCTTCCTCCAAGTTGTTTGGGGTTTAAAATTTAACAAGTTATTGTATTTAATTTATTTGAAAATTTTCTTTGATAGGTTAGCTAACTTTACATACATATATATATATATATATATATATTAAAATAAATAAAACATATAAATATACAAATCAAATTAGTAATTAAGTTTTTTTATCAATAGTTTCAAATCGTCAATAACAGTGTATTAGAATGAAAAAGAAAAACATTACAGCTGAATCTAAATTTTAGATCGAATAATAAAGGACAACCTAAGGCCGTACGTACATGTTGTATGTGAACTGAAGTTAACCACGATCGAGTGTTATCTGTGAACTGATTCGCAAGATCAAGTTTAATTGCTCCGACACGATACAGCGCTTATCTTCATTTGGAATTGGGACCACGGAAAATGGTGTTCCAAGATCGTAGGACAATATCATTGTTTATAATAAGTAAATGTATGTACGAAGTTGGATAAGATCTTTTCATTAGATTTAATCAAATCTAATTTATTTATTTTATTTGAACTGAGATATATTAACTAAATTTTTTGTTTTGTAAAATTTTAAATTTCAATTTTCTTTGAAATCTTTAGAATACTATTTAGAGAACAAATTTTAATTAGTTTAGTATTAAAAATATACATTTTTTATCAGCAAAATAATATCATGAATCTAAAAACTGAGTAACACAAAAATAATATAATTTAAAAACATTAAATAATACTTATGCTATTATATTATTTAATAATAATATTATAAGTAATATCATTAAATAATATATATTAACGTCGTTTTGAGGAAAGATAGAGTCTTCTTTTAAAAAATATAAAATCACATTAATTTATTTTTTTAAAATAAGATTTAATTTAACAAAAAAATATAAAAACTAAAATGAATTTAAATTGAAAAATTAAATTACTAATTAAGTTTATAAACAAAATTTAAAACATTATTAAAATAATTTGGAATATTTTTATGTGAAAATATTTATTTTCCAAATTATTTATACTCTTAGAAATATTATTGCTTTGCAATCTTTGTCACAAAAATTTGAGTTTTTTCAAAAATAAAAAAGTACTTTCAAATGATCTTAGTATTTTTAACTGAGTATATTAATTTTTATTTTTTCGTATTGACTACTTAAAATCTTTTTTCTGGCCAGTAATATTAATCAATGAGAGTGTCTTTCTTATCTAATGATAAAAGTAAGATACAACATTAGTGAGCATAGATCAGCTTATATAAAAAATCTTTAATCTAAAATTTTGAAATAAAAAATTGTGTCTTCTCTTCTATTTTACTTCTCACCTTACTCTGATGTTAGTTTTAAACTGATCCCAACATCTAACACCTTTTAAAATAAGTGTAGAATCTTATACTGATGAGAAGATGAGATTAAACTTTAATTAGAGAAATTGATTATTAAGTTGAAATTGAATTAAGTGTGTTATGGTGTTGTAACTGGTATCTGATGGTCTGCACAGAACCTATTCACAGCGGGAACTGACACGTCTTCAAGCATCATAGAGTGGTCCTTAGCAGAGATGCTGAAGAACCCGAGCATCATGAAGAAGGCTCACGAGGAAATGGACAAAGTGATAGGCAGGGAGCGCCGCCTCAAAGAATCCGACATCCCAAACCTTCCCTACTTCCAAGCCATATGCAAAGAGACCTACAGAAAGCACCCTTCAACTCCTCTCAACCTCCCTCGAATCTCCAAACAACCATGCCAAGTTAACGGCTTCTACATCCCCGAGAACACTCGCTTGAGCGTCAACATCTGGGCCATTGGGAGAGACCCCCAAGTGTGGGACAAACCCCTCGAGTTTAAGCCAGAGAGGTTCTTGAGTGGCAGGAACAAAATGATCGACCCACGTGGCAATGACTTCGAGTTAATACCCTTCGGCGCCGGGCGAAGGATCTGCGCCGGCACCAGAATGGGGATTGTCTTAGTGCACTACATTTTGGGAACCTTGGTTCATTCCTTTGATTGGAAGGTGCCACGTGAAGTGGGGGAATTGAACATGGAGGAGGCCTTTGGTCTTGCCTTGCAGAAAAAGGTTCCTCTTGCTGCTTTGGTTACTCCTAGGTTGACTCCTAATGCTTACATTCCTTAGATTACCTTTCTTATAAGCTTTCTTCTCCAATGCTTCTGTGGTAGCTGATTATCTATATAGCTACTGAATAAGTGTTTGTGTTAGCACAACCAGTTGCTGTTTCTAAATATCTTCTGATTCAGGCTTATCTAATTTGTTTTCGGTTAATTATGTTTTATGTTATTCGTAGGGGACTTTAGTTAATTAATTTTATTAGTTTAATTAGATTTATTTACTCATGATATTTTAATTATTAAAATTAAGAAATGGATTGAAAATATCTTGATCTTGTTTCTTATTGCCACGCTCTTCCACCACTCCAAGATGTTCGCATGCCACTTCAGTATTGACCGCTAGTCTTAAATAACGACACACACATATTATATATATATAGTATGGTTCGGACGGCTATACAATCGCCCCATAGGATGGTAAAGGGTTGGAAAGTTAATAATCAGGTTTCCTATAAAGATTAACGTAATTGGTAATTAAAGGTATTGGACTGAGATTAGACCGTGATTAAGACTTCACTAATCTCAAGCTCATGCCAAAAACTATAAATAGGGTCAAAAATAACAGGTAAGTGTTTACATTTACTGCACATTTATTACTGTTACATTAAACTCTAGTACGGTCAGTCAACTAACTTAAGCATCGGAGAACCTTTGGCAGGTGCACCTCGGGACGATGGATCGAGGAGAAAGACAAGAAGAACAGTTACCGAACGACATCCCAGGAGAAATTATGCAGGTGTTGGTAACTCGACCTCACACACGAAACATTTTGACATCCACCGTGGGACCGGGTGACTTGATTATACCCAATGGTGATCACGAGAAACATGAGAACTTAAGACCCGATGGAGATGATCATGATGTTACAACAAAGAAGGTAGGAAATGCAGCAACGTCATGAAGCAAAGTTGGCGACAGTCCGAGCCGAGTGTTCGGCTCGGGTTGCGCAATAGAAGATTCTTGAGACGAGAGAGAATGTAGGGGAAGAGTGGGGCAAGGTTGCCCAGGAGGAAACAACGAAGAAAAACAAAATGGCAAACGAGACATGGAAGCCGACCGACACCAAGGTCAGGGAAAGTGGGACCAAAATTGTTCCAGCGAAGAGCGCCGCTATCAACAAGCAATTGGTGGTGAAGGCTGAGAGCACGTCTGGTATGCTACCATTCGTCCAAGCTATTATAGAAGTCCACATATCTGAGCAATTTGTCCCGCCCCAATTTAAGGTATACGATGGGACGACCGATATTGAGGATCATATCAAGACGTTCACCAACCGGATGGCGTTTCATACAGGTAACGACGCCAATAGAATCCTGACTGGAGAACTTTTGCAGCTGTTCTTTCTCCATTAAAATGACCCCTAATACTACTTGTACTGGACTTACCCACGCACTGTCAGAGATCGGATATATAATGCCAACTCCAAAAGCTTCAACACTTAACCTTCTTTGTGGTTGAGCAGGTCTATAGTCATCCTCCATAAATATTTTATGCATGCAATAAGTTGGGCTTATACCTTTGATATCCGAGATTGACCACCCAATAGCTCCTTTATTAGCTTTCAAAATGTCTACCAATTTTTCCTCCTCTTCAGAAGACAAAGAATTACTATTGATGACTGGTTTCTTTCCATCTTCTTCTAAGAAAACATACTTTAAATGCGATGGTAACATCTTTTCTTTAACTTCCTCCTTGGTATCAATCTTCTCAAAATTTGCCTCATCCACTAGAATTTATTTTTTTAACACCTCCAAATACGTCAAGCACTCATCAATTAATTTCTCTTCCTCTTCATTCAAATCTTCACATGCAATGAAAGTCTTCTCTCCCAACAACTTACAAGGAATATTGACTGCCCCCACACATCAACACGAGACTTTCCAATGTGCTTTGTCCTCACTCGCACACTTTCCAGGAAAACTTCCATTCTTCACTCACGTTCTGACTGTAGAATCTAGCCAGATACTCAAACCGCTCCTTATACGCCTGCACAAACATGTTCCACTGCACTAAGGTCATGAACTCTCCCTCCCTCTGCAACTTAGCACTAACCGGAAAGTATCTCTCTAGGAATCTTGCTCAGAAGTGCTCCCAACTAATGGTCTCCCTGCGAGCATCCATCTTCAACCGCATACCTCACCACCAATACTCAGCCTCCCCAGCTTGCATGTAGGTAGCAAATACCAGCTTCTGCCCCTTGGAACAATCAATCACCTCAAAAATCTTCTCACTGCTACAAATCCAATCGTCGGCCTCGTCCGGCGTAGCCTTCCCATTGAATTTTGCAGGATTATGACGCAAGTAGTCATTCATACCCACTCTAGGTACAAATACTTGGATCACTTGTTGTGCCTGTTGTGTCTGCTGCCCTTGCTACACCTGAGCAATTTGTCGAAGGGCTTGCGCAAGCTCTACAGTAGCATCAATAGGAGTAGTAGTTCCTTCCTGTCTCGCCATCTTGGATTTTAAACACAAATAAATAAGAAAACTATCATACAACCATCAGAATCATACAAAAAAGCTAGTCGAACTCACTCTCCAAAAGCCCCAAAACAATTTTTCGAAAACCATGCTCTAATACCAAATTGTAACACCCTTAACCAGATGTCACATGTGAATTAGAATAATACAATCCTTACATAGTTTACTACAAACTTGATCTTTTTGGATAAATAACATACTTTATTCCAATAGCATTGCGGAAGCAAAAATCAAAAATCATAAACGCAGTCCTTGCAAAATACAATTAAAATATAATCTTTACCGAAAACACTAAATCTGAAAAGAAAATTTAAATAACAAAATCACTAAAATTCCAGAAGAAATAATTTCCCTTCTCTCGTCACACTACTGCACTCTAACATCATCTGCAACACCATCTACTCCCGTACAAGTACGATCATTGCAGGTGAAAACCACAACCACAAACATGCAAGGGTGAGCAACAATAAAACAACACATAGAATATAATACAGTAAAACAACATTAAACACAGGCTATATGAAGTAATAGTATCCTATCCGAACACTTAAACATATCATATCAATCCATCTATAGAACAATGTCGTTCCCTCGCACTTTGTCATCCCAACCTGTTACGCAAAACTGGGCGATTCGAGTCGTCCTCCATCGCAACTTCAGACCTATCTCTCCAACATCAAAATGGGCGAGACATTCACCTCCTTACTCAAATTGAAGTGACACTCAAATTTTTGTTTCTTCACGAGACTCAACATCCTTATCTTAACGCAATACGAAAAGCTCACACATACCCTACAACCGTACGAGAAAAATAACAGAGTTTCATATTCTCATCATAAATCCATACACGTTCTCAATAACATGTATTAATCAACAAATCACACGGTTTATCTCACCATTCTCAAGATATTCCATAAATAGTATCAACAATATACATAAAACCATCAAAATTTGAAGTCCGAAACGTAACAAAGTTTCAAATCAACGAACAACAGAGGAAAGAAAACACAACTCTCATACTTACACTCGTGATGGCACCCAACAAAGCACCCGTTTTACCACCTGGGACATATATCAACAAAGAAATCATCTTTACACTAAAGTTCCTACATGAACTTGCCACGTACACCCAACTTTATTATACAAATATATAAATTTATACTGTATCGCTATTAACTTTCGTAACTCCCAACGTTTTATACATATATATGTATATATATTGTATTAATATTATATTACGCAACTCCCTCCTTCTTATATATATATATATATATATATATATATAGATGTTATATGATGTTATATGTTAAACTATGTGCTTGAGTGGAATGATATGTTCATTGTATGTGTTGAATTATAAATTAAATTATATAAGCTTACCCTTTTCGTTTTCCTTGTGTTGTCCCTCGTATATGTACGTTCGTCTTGTCTTGCAATGATCATCCGTTGTGGATGTGAGCAAAGGGCGAAGCAACCTTGGAGGAGGTGATCCAAGAAGAAAACTTAGTTGAAGTGGAAGTGAAAGCGGAGCAGTAGGACGTCTGNTATATATATTACTTATACCTATATTATATTAATATAATATATTAACATACTTTCATTATATATTTATACTATATTAATATAATATATATATACTCTATACCATCAATTTCTTAACACCAACACTACTAACCCACTCCTCTGCAAAGTGAATATCAACGTTACAAAACAAGCTGAAGGAGCACTCTCATCCTTTTCCCAAGTGCCGCGGAACCCACTCAAAGAAGAGTTGAATCTTTTATCCATGCAAACAAAAAACTAAAACTTCCCTGCCCGCAACTTCACTCTTTCCTCTCTCAATTAATTCTCCTACACTCATTTCATCTAAAACTCGTTCTTCTTCCCCATACACGCTGAGACCACAACATTCACATAACCACCACATACGAAAAACAAAACATACTCTCCTTCTTTTCCCACATTTTCCATTTGTTAAACCACTTCCTATCCTCCTCCTCTCTACACTCACTCCTTCATCTCTCGGCCAACCTCAGACCAACTACCACCATCTACTCTCATCTTCTTTGCTCATGCCTAGCCTCACCCATTGGCTCCACCAAACTAACACTACAATATATGTCCTATTTACACATCCTCGCCCCATTACTTCATTCCACTCAAGCATCCACTATACTCTATTTTTACCTATTCCCATTCTCGCACATCAATCCGAGACTCTCCATGCATCACACCTATTTATTCTCCTCAAATAACTCAACTCATTTTATTCCTCACCACTCCAATCATCATTCATATCTTTCACTTATCACACCTATTTTATTCTTCCCTCATACACAGACTGACCAGGAACAAAGTCCCTGTTAGACGCCCATAATCACCATTTTCCATAACTGAGAGAAAAGACACTCAAACCTACTCTTTCTAGGGTCAAACAAAATACACCAGACAAAAGGGATACCTACATTAATGTCATGCAAAGCACAATCTAGTTCTTATGTCATACGTGAACGTAATATAGTAATGGAACTCCATAAATATATACCCTTCCCCACGAAATACATCCCAACATATAGTAGATATTCGGTTTGCTCCCCTTACCTTGGATTTCCTGACGGTTCCGAATGTGAAAAACGCCGATGATCACCTTTCCTCTCACAGCTAGATGTGGTGCTTCCCTTTCCTTCTCGG